TAGAGGGACTGTGGCTAAGTACTATTATAATTTCACATATTCAAGTGGTTTTTAATTTAGTGGATTTAACTTATCAGTGACAATAGTAAAACAACAATCTTATAAATAATTAATGAGTTTGCAGTAGTCACTAAGTACCAGCAAAAACATTCAAAAAAGTCTTTTTAATGAAAATTAATTGCAGCTAAAGTAAAATATTAAAAGTCAATAAAAAATCTCATACAAAATGCCCAATATATCTTTTCAACGCAAACAGTAGTCAGTACAAAAAAAAATCAATGTGTTAATGTCAGAGAGTGGTTTAGATTGTCATGGATACACTACAAGGATCAATTCACTGTATGTGAACTCATTATGGATGATAGCGTTCTTATCGATCAATATGTAACCTTGTTGTTTACAGTTAGTGAATTCAGAATCAGAGATAACGACTTGTTAATAATGACTGGCATCATTAATGTAACCAGGGCGTAAACTTAAAGAATTAAAAAGTAGGTTTGGATTAGTACAATGAACCAGCACCGGCTGACGTTGTTGTATTTTGAATAATGCCATTCTCTCCTTACTCAAGTTTATTTGTGCTCCATGGTTGTTTTGACTGTGTGCCTGTCAGTTGTGTTTCACACAGGTGCAAACTCTATCCATATCTGTGGTTCATCAGTCTCTGAAAAAAAAAAAAAAAAAGTGTTATTGTGTATTCTGCACACTGTACTTTCCACTGATTCTACCAAAAAATAAATGAGTAAAAATCAAATCCAGTGAATATTCATGTTGCTTTTATTTTATTTTAGCATAATTGATTACTTTGATTTAATTAAAGTCACTGATTTGCAATTAAAACAATAAGTACTATTATAATTTCACATATTCAAGTGGTTTTTAATTTAGTGAATTTAACTTATCAGTGAAAATAGTAAAACAACAATCTTATAAATAATTAATGAGTTTGCAGTACTCACTAAGTACCAGCAAAAACATTCAAAAAAATTTTTTTAATGAAAATTAATTGCAGCTAAATTAAAATATTTCACTGTAATGAGTGCTGATGACTGTGTGTTCAGCCAGTTACCAATAATTAGAGAAACGCTCAATTATCGAAAAATGCTAAATTTTAAAAAGAAATAATATAGTTGTACAATTACCATCCGAGAATGTAATACAGATTTTAATATATTGAACTTTTACCTATGAATACAAGAAAAGAACTTGAGACGGGAATAAATTGTATTCATCAGCTGTATTTTCCCGTTCTGGTGCTTGAATACAGGATTTGATTTGATTTGATGTGATGTATCGCACCTTAGTTCCAGGTGAGACTGTTTTTATACTAAGAGGAAACCTTAGCTGTGCCTTGCTGTCATTGTGAAAAAACACTTGAATGTACATGTAGTAGTAGTATATCAGATACATACATTCATGTACACTGCTCCAATAAAAGCACCTA